ATACACACACACACTGCCCTGAATGTTTCAAATTACTTCAAATTGTACCCGATCCGGCGGACAAATGCAGTTTTGATCGTATTTGAAATACTCGCCCATATATATATATATATATATATATATATATATATATATATATATATATATATATATATATATATATATATATATATATATACTCATGTTTTTTTCTTGTAAATCGCGCTCTAAACCCACACTATTCCCTGTATAAATTGTTTTAATACATTCCGTCTTTATATATGTAAGGTATCAGACATCAAATCATTTAAACTATAAATGCCTTTTATAGTAATCTTTATGTACAGATGCAGGATCGTCCAGAGAGGGGTGAGTGCAAAGAGTCAAATTTTAAAAGAATTTTAAATGCAATAGTGAAAGTGCAAATTTAGGCGCCAGTCAAAACAAATATTAGAGCAAGTAGTCAGTCCAGATGTATATATTTAAGAAGTTAGTGACATTAATCATTTAGCATGAGCCCGATTGAAGTAAATAAAATTTTAACGCAAAAGTTTGACATTTTGCACTGCACATGTGTTATAGTTTAAATATAATTTAATTAATTTAATTCAATTCATGTATGTGTATATTCCAAGAACAATATACATGTCAATAAACTTGTCACAACATCTTCTATATGGTCATCTGCATAATAGCATTTTGAAAACAATGGCGCTGATTGGTCAAAAGCTAAAAAAAAGTGTTTCCATAACTCTGTAGAGACACGGGAATTTTCGCGTGGGTTGCGTTGATTGCGCAGGAGTTTAAGAGACAAAGTACAAGCAATATTTAATATTGAAAAACGGTTGAAAAATGTCCGAAAATACCAGAAACTCGTCACAGCCGAAAAGACAACGCTTTAGCGCTTTGCTACTGACTAATTAGAAAGCGAAGACCTAAACAGCTTGTTCGACACGGCCCAAGGACTATATGTACGAAATTTAATACAGCATAAGTTGTATCTGTTTACCAAGGTCCAAGGTAACGGATCTTTTCATTTTACTTTGTCTTTTTAAAAAAATATTTCCTCGCGCGAGTTTTTAATCACTGTTTACGATCGTTTATTTATAATCTTTTTTAATCATCGAAACGTTTACTAACTATTTAAAACCAGTGCTTTCTCGAGTAAAGTAAGTGTGTTGAGTGTTGTCTGTTGTTTTGACTTGTTTACTTGACTATGCTTTAATTGTTCCAGCATGAGCCCGACCTTTGAATTTAATTTTGACTTGTTTACTTGACTATGCTTTAATTGTTCCAGCATGAGCTCGACCTTTGAATTTACGCACTTGATATATGTATGCGAGTAAATTGTAAAACACGTCGAAATGATCAACACAATCAATACGCGCAAAAACGTATTGGGATAGGTGAACCTAACCCTAATCTGCATGATCCCAACTCTGACTCCTGACCTTATAATGTGATCTTATCTGAACTTGACAGCCACGTCCTTTGACAATCTCCCCCAACCCGGTACGACCAACCTAGCTCCTTTTTACGATTACATAATGCTTGTGGTTTTATGTGGAGTTGCGAATCTATTGTATTAATAAATTCGGACGTGTTCAACAATTTACTTTAATAGTAAATTCAAAGGTTGAGCTCATGTTGAATTTTCAACATGGTAGAGGTCGCCAGCACGCTGACTAAACATCATACGTAGTTCGCATGAACTTCCTATCCAGTGTTTTTATGATCCAAATTATATAAATATACAATATATAAAGTTGGTAAACATATGAGTAAGCTAAATGTCATGTTGATTGAGATATTCGTATTCAATGTTAAATGCACAATAAAGAAAGTTAATAGGGAATTAAGATGCCCCTACATTGTGACGCATGCATATAACACGTACTTTCTTGTATGAATGTATTCAATGTAAATATTTATAATGTGGTAAAGAGGCGTAATTCGCAATCAGCTGCTTCACACTTCCCACCCACGCTTCCAACCCTTTGTGAGCATGGAGTTTCCTACATATCTTTAAAAAGAACTCGTAAATGGTTATATATATGTTTTATTTACCGTTTTAAGATTTTCTTTGTATTTTTCACACGTTTATCCAGCAATCAATAAACGCTTGTTAATGTCGAGTAATTAATTTTCAACTTTCAAGAACATTCAAATTTAGAGTGCCCGAAATGGCCATTTCATGGACTTTTGGGGACGACATTCCCGAATTCTGACGCCATAAGTCAACTAGCTGATATTACTGAATAGCAAATTTTTAGAATTGCTCAAACAGGACTTCAAGGGTTTCAGTTTGTTCGTACTCAACGTGGTTTGAATGTATTTTTGCCTAACAAATTATTCAATATTTGCTAACTGATTTTCGCTGCAGAATTGCATTTCCTTAATTAAACGGCTCCCTCCCAAGGACTTATTACCATGCATGCAAGAGTAGTGCGCCATTGCCCCTCAGTCCTTACCAACAATGCAAGTTCAGACGGATCGGGAAAATTCTGGCAAGTTGAAATTTTGAAATTTTCACTTGTAAGTTCACTGGATAGTAAAAGTCGTTGTGTTCAGAAAGTTGATAAGTTTGAAGACCACCCTGTTCTTTAAAACTCAGTGATGAGTATTATTAGAATGATAATCATCAGAAAATGTCTACTACAAGTATTACACAATCCGGTAAAATTTTCGAAGGCTTCGCTACGTCGCCTCCCTGCCCATATTGCCATATAGTAAGGGAATCACCCGTCGTGATCTCCCAGGCTAGCCTGGCTACTCCAGGGCAAGTTGGTAAAAGTTGGTGCGTCAACGCATCGCCAAGCTTTTTACAATTTGGATTAGAATTTTACGAATTACATATTTGCATGGACCGGTCTACTTGTTTGGCATGCGGATGAACCTGTAGCCCTGGTTTTATATGTCAATGAATGAATTAATTGACACTTTCGTAACCGCGCAGACTTCATGGGACTAATAACACTAATGAGGCAATGAATCCAAACGATATGCAAGAGCACAAAATTGAGTGTTTCAACAATCTTTTAAATTACATTTTGTATGTATCTCAAATATTTATGTGAAAAATTTATTTAATATTCCCTCAAAATACAGTGCGAAAGCGAATGAAGAGAGTTTCGGTTTGCTAATAAGCTCTTATTGTGAAAGGCCATCGGAACCACCGACCACGTGTAGATGAGATGCGTCTGCTCTTTGACAGAGACAAAGCGTCTATCTAGCACATCTCGTAGTCGATTCATTGCAGTTTTCTGCGGCTTAATTAATATTAATCGACGAAACCATCTTGAGCGGTGTGATCTCTGTAAATACGTTCAAATTAAAAGCCATATGAAGGCATTCCTCTTACGGCTAGGCTCGTTCGAGCTACAAAGCTGTCGCGGCCGGCCTGCTACGTAGGAGGATGATTATACAACGCATGATTAAAGTTGAAAGATCGGTCAAACAACAGCGTTAAACAATAACATCCCGGTGAGCAGCACGAGTGTACAAATTTATCAGCTAAAAGCTGATATTTCAAGTGTTTTTATACGCAAAGAGGAAAGGAATAAGCGAATTGAAGTATATGAGTTCATTTTAGCAATCGATAAGCGACGTACGAAGGCCATGAGCAGCGAGCAGACGAAGGGGAAGGAAAAATGCGTGAAATTTAAAGATGCTAAACCTTCGATATCACTTACAAATGACGAGGGAGAGCAATTGAATGGATTAGATCGTTCAAAGTAAGTCTCTGTTTATATTTCTCCGTGGTAATTAAAGTCGAACATATTTAATGTTTTTATGTATTAATATATTTGACATTCGTTCCTTCCTTGGATTATATTGATATTCATGCACCTTTTGATATGCGAACTGTCTGTCGATTTCTCAGCCGATGTTGACTTAAGCAGTTCGTAATAAACGTTCGCTGCTCGCTTTCAACATATAAACAAACGTCTTCTCGATGTGTGCTAATTTCACTGAACGGCAAGTAAATATCTAATCATTTGCCATATATACTTAGTCTTAATTCCACGGAACTGTCTGACTATAATATCATATCAGTAGCGGATGAACAGGCAAGCATTGTTAATACTTGGCTTAAGTCTAAAACAACCTTAAAGCTGTATTCGACTTAAACTGTCTGCCTTGGATAATCAAGTGCTGTAGAAATAACATCCACGCGTTTATTATAAATATGATGCATGAGCTAATGATACGAAATGTTTAGGAAATTAGGAATTATCAAAATGAGAGCACAGTACTACAAGGGTTGTTATTGCATATTTAAATATGAGACAGTACTTGACTCGCTTCGGATTATTAAATGCATGTCATGTCAATACATTATAAATGCTCGAATTTTCGTTTCATTTGGCCGTTTAACAAACTAGTCGGCCATCCTTGCATATTGACAATGGCGGATTGTTTTCGTTCGAACCGTTTCCATACGTGTATTACAACGGATCATTTTTGCCTCTTGGATTTTTAATCTGCTAATGTCGAATTGACGTGTCAGCCGGGGCGTTGCGGTGAACGTTTTGGTTTTGCTCATGAATTCATTTAGAAGCGGTTAGTCAGGTGAATTGAAAATTGTAAAACTTGCTTTTTCTGCACAAGGTATACAATTGCTGGTTAATTGCGCCTGCGACTCCAGCGTAAAAAAAACAGGTCAGCCAAAATATTGTCTTCCAGCCATAACCTTGTTAATATTTAAACAATGATAGCTTCTTGATGATAGCTTCTCAATGATGCTTGGTAGTTAATGCTTGGAATCTATCAATTGCGCGTGTTCCTGTGAGCTTTGTGTAGCGGTTGTGTTGGACAGCGAGTCTCCGTATTTGGTCTCGCCATAAATATATTTAAATGCGGTGTGTCCGTTGAATCGAGAATTCAAAAAAAAACTTACATATACCGTCAATGTTTTCCCACTTCCTACAACAATTCTGTTAATTGAGATATAAAACCTCTCAAGTTTTTTTTTGCTTCGAGCCACAACTAAAATATATATATATATATATATATATATATATATATATATATATATATATATATATATATATATATATATGT